TCTCATACAATGGCTGCAGTAGGTTTCTTCTAAACAACGTTATATATCTACCAGTCAGTACGGTANTCCGTTCACTTCGGTTTTTCTAGATTTTACACATTCGGTAGGACTCCTTGGGCGGGTGATCAGCTCGTCGCAATGCCTCTACCTGTATACAAATACAGGAAAACGCACACACACAAACTAAACATCCATGCCCTGAGTGGGATTCGAACCCACGATCCCGGGTTCCAAGCGAGCGAAGACAGTGCATGGTTTATACTCTTCATGTGCTCTAATTTCACATATTTGTTTCGACATTTTCAGAGTAGAGAAGAGAGTAGATAAAGTTAATTATCTGCACACTTGTGCACTGATACAACAAAAAAAAAAACCAACAGAAACCAACTCCGTGGTTTTAGTCCGTAAGCGAACTATATCGACCGAGCGACCGCCGCTTGTGGGCGAAGTTAATGCCAACTTCAGCGGATAGACCGTGTCGCGTGGTCAGCGCAACGAATCCCCACGGTCGTTAATTTCAATTTTCTAGACCGGAGACGCCATTTCCTTGAAATAGTTCCTCAATTATCATCACGAGGCTCAGTGGACCCCGTTTCAGACCCACTACTTCTCAGAAAGAAATCTGGTAGTGCCGGGAATCGAAACCGGACCTGTGGCCAGGAACTCTGACCACTAGACCACAGGGGCGGCATGTGCATTGATATAGAGAAATAAAACGCAACTTTTTATGTACCCTGTTTCGAATTGGTAGGTCTGAGTCCCTCGAATCTCCAGCTATAAAGCGATAATGGTGAGAGAAACCCCACATATCCTGTAATCTATGCAACACGTCAAGAGATATGCCTTACCCCACAAGAGCTACGGATTCCGCCCCCCCCCCTCCACTTCGCTACCCAATTCTCAGTCAGTTGAATTGTAGTCAATCAGCAGACAGCAGGGAAAAGGTCTGCAGCAGCTGAAATCTCTGCTCATGTCTACGCGGTTAGACATTTCAACCTACAGTGATTAATTCTGTGCATTTTTTATACTTGTCAGATAAACTTGCGGCAGCACTGAATAAGTAGTAATGTGCGTGCGTGAGAGAGTGTGTGTGTGTGTTAGTGTGTGCTTGATAGAGAGAAAGAGGCTGATATGTGGGTGTTTCCGAAGCCTGATATCCCACTTCACAAGGCTCGGTATGTATTACTTGTTTCAAAACATTTGTATCAGAACTAAACTAAATTCCGTAGCAACTTTACCGACCGAGCGACCGCCGCCTGTTGGCGAAGTTAGTGCCAACTCTGTGGTATAGTGGTCAGAGATCATGGCTACAGATCAAGAGGTCCTGGCTTCGATTCCCGCGCTATGGAGTTTGATTTTATGACTTAAATTTAAGCTGCGATCGCTTCCCTCAACGTGGTATTTCCCCGCATGTTGACCGTCTTTTCCTATTCAGTAAACACAAATCAACCTAACAATCCGATGATATTGTCACGTATATTAATGTCACTCTCGACGGCGTTTTGGATTGGGTGTTGCAAGAACCTCCGTCAAGAGATCTGATGATCGAACCGACATTGAAATCCTGGACCTTCTGGATACAAGCCTGGGAGACACCGCTACAATAACCCGCTCGGCATTCAGAGTGATCAATGCCTTGTACACATGCAAGGTTACGAGGAATCGAAATTAACAATTTTACTAGAGTTCGTGTACTGCACAGTAGCAAATTTCTTACATAGAAAACTCTCAGAGAGTTTGTAGTACAGGGCAAAGTTACACGTTCTTTCGAATTTCCTTCTTATCTTGGCATCTGGGCCTTAGTTTCACACGTAATCTTCTTTCATGACATTTCCAACTAACTTTATTTTTTTTTAATTCTCGTGTGTCTCTCATCACCCCTCCACCCTATATTACACCTTCTCAACTCTGTAGACTTAAACAACTCCTGTTGTGTAAGGTCCCCGGTGTAATTTTCCACATTCCTTATTTATTACGTTGTAGTGAAGGTGAATACATCTGACGGTAAAACATTTCCCTCAGATTTCACTAGATACGTGGAAAAAAGATTATTTTTAAGTATCTCGCGTCACTCAAATGTTTATTACGAGTAATAACGCTGTGTTTACACGGAATAATTTTCAAGACAGGTTCAAATGTTTCGAAGAAAATTTCTGCCTCCATCTTCAGGATGAAAATTCTCATACAATGGCTGCAGTAGGTTTCTTCTAAACAACGTTATATATCTACCAGTCAGTACGGTATCACATCCCAGAAGGTAACAACAGTATTGGTAACGGACATGAGCGCCTCAGTTCACATGAAGCTGAAGAATATGGAAGAGACACACGCAAAAATAAGAGAAAGCCGCTGTAGCTCAATCAGTATAGTGACGGGCGGTGGATTTGACGGCCAGAGTTCGATTTCCGGCAGGGGGTAATAGATTTGTCTCTATTCCACAGCGTCCAGACCGGGTCTGAGACCCTTCTAGCTTCCTGTACAATGTGCACCGAGATATTTACCCTGTGGTTAATGCGGCCGGGGCGTGAAGCCGACCATTCACTTCCATCCGATGCCGTGGTCAAGAATGGAGTAGCTATATCTCCAACCCCCGATATATTTTCATGGTCTGGTACCGAATTTATTAAGCACAGAATAAATTTAAATTTTCTTACCTCTTAATGCAGAAATAAAGGTAGTACCATAAATTATTTATGAAGAAGACTGATTAAATTTACAGCGATACCAATATGTTCTCGTTTATGCGAGACAGTTCACTTCCACCCTGAAGATGAAGCCAATATAATCCTCCAAACAATTTTATCTCCACCTACCAAACTTCAAGGTACAAGCCAGAAGTCCAGAACATCAAATTTGGGTTGTAATTTCTTGTACATTTTTCATGCAACTGGATCGAATAGAGCGCGAAGATTTCAGTAGGAGTTCAGTGCGGCGGGCAACAGAACAGCCCATGATTCACTGGTGACCGTGCTCATTTCCAGTGACGATAAGAATCCAGCATAATGTCCTCTAACATCCCGCGGGCTATATTTATGTCTTGAATGCAGTACGTGTGCCGAATGCAACTCGCAGCGCTACGCACTCAGAAATCACGAGGCACAAACGTCGACTGGGCCAAGCGACCGGGTCACGCAACGGCCTTAACGAAAATCCACGTTACAAATAACGGGAGCTGCCTCATTTATTGCAAGTCTCCTAAGGCATTTCAAATTGAGCAAATCTGCTGCAACGCAGAGCTGCACAGACTTAACTACTTACGTCGGACTCCATTTTCGCCTTTGGACACCATAACTCCATGATCCTGTGACATATCTTCAATGGCCTTTACGTGGTAACGGCTAGGCAAACAATTTTTCCAAGGCAACAGATACGAACGCAATAATTTTCGGCATTGTCAGAGATGGTGTTTTCTGTGAGGTCCGATCCGAGACTACATAGCTAGAACCAAAGGGTGAGAATGTAAAAATTCCGTGTGGATGCGGGGTTGAATATTCCCACCGTAGCCCTGCGAGGCGTAGGAGGCGATTAAGAGGGAAGTCTCGAAAATGAGACAGTAAAATATGATCACGAGTCCCACGGGACTTGGACCCGAAAATGACTGCGCTGGCGAGGACCAGCAGCAATTGTAAACGACAGATCCGTCCTCTTGTCAGAGAGAGCGCCCTACATCAACAAGCCTGTAGCTGTCTGACAGTAATAAAAATCTGGTCGTCAGCCCCAGATGGGGGCTTTATTCCAAGACAGACTGGCCGACTGAACGTCGGTCGTAACATAAGACTCGGACTCAGAGAATGTAAAATCATGAGAATGGACATATTCGCAGCCTAGGACAAGGAGAAGTCAGACATAGAAAATATAAGAGGCATAAACTAGAGGGTGGTCAAGCTTATGACCGTTCATGTGACTAAGTTGCCGTTGTAGCTTGAGTAGGTTAGACATGATTTTTTTTGCAGAACCTTTGCAAGATTCATCGAACATCTGTAACTCGTAACTACAGGTGGCTTTAACGTTTTCACGGATCTATGAACACTACAAATCACTGTACTGCAACACACGTAATCTCTTCTATATTTTCACCAGGTTTTGCTAGGTAACGGTTCTCAAAAATGGGTATCTCTCTGCTTCCCTACTCATGTCCGTGCTGGATGACGACAGTTTCACAACTAACTCATGATGTCAAATCTGAGTTGCAACTAACTGACTTCAAAGTGTACGTTACGAACGCAGACTACAGCCACCTGCTCAAAATGGTTACTAGCTTGCGCATTTTTGTACACTGAAAATTCAGGCGACACGTTCCTCCGAAACGTCGGTACATCCCAGAAGACGGCATTCTTCATAGTCACAGAGTGAAAGCCTCAAATCTTACAATATTTAAATTACTAAAATTAGGTATTTTTGCAGAGTTCTGCCTTCAAAACTTCCACGTTAATACTTCAACACGGAATCAAAACACCTTAGTCGTCATATTGACGAACTACGGGCTGTACGGCTAAGGTTTGACTCCTAGCAGTGCAAGTTTTTCTCTTCTCCACAGCCTTCAGGTTGATTCTTGGGCCCACCCAGCCTCCTATAAAATGGGTAACTATGGCTCTTCCCCCGGGGGTAAAGAGGCAGTAGCGTGAAGCTAACCACTCACATCTAGTGACGAGGTCAAGAAAGGTGGACGTATACCTCCATTCCCCCATACGTCTTCATAATATAATGCTTAACTAATTAAACACAGAGGGCAGCTTTACCCCTTTTACCTAAACTCGACGGTCTTCAAGCTATTACATGCACAAAGACGAACTCAATACACATTTAATCGGATTACTTAGGAAGAAACTTGTGAACGTTTATGGACATAACGTATTGAATGAGGAAATTAAGGGGCACACACAGGGAGCCAGAGGGGTATAGCCCCACCCCAGGAGCGCACGCACGCAGTCCGCTGTTAGAAGCAGACAGGCGGCTGGCTCTCTGCTCCTTTAGTTGGATGCTGCCTACAATCGTCGCCGGTCGGCTGCTGCTACCCCTGACACATAGGTTCCCCGCTATTCGTCACTTTGCTTCACGCAACGGTTCCAGGTAAGCACAATTACAGAAGCTGGCTTACTCAATCAAATGCAGTAACTTCTCAGAAGTATAGCACGTCGAGTTCAAGAAATCGTCCTGCAATAACGCAATGATAAAGCAACACTTTAAGCACTTTTTAGTCAACAGAAAATTCTTTTATATTATGGATTTAATACGAGTTCTACATCAATTATTTCATAATCAATAGAATACCGGCTTTGGCGGATCTTTCTGTGGATCATTTTATATCACTGTTGATCTCTAGATCACACTACGTCACTCTTCATATCTAGATTACATAGCGTCAAACGGCATGGATTTGAAAGGATGTGGAAAATAGCGGTCATGGTCTAACTGAAGTATTATAGCGGCATTTTCTTGTACTGACTGAAGAAAACCACGAAATACCTTAGTCGGAGTAGTCAATGTAACGCCAGAGATTCGAACTTAGCACCTATCGAATACATATCTGGAGCGTCATCATTAGACTAAATTATTTCTAATTATTTTAAATTTAAAAGTTGAAATAAACGTAAAACATGCAATAAGAAAGCTCTTTCCGTAATTATAATTGCCTATCTTCTAAACGTAAAATATTTAAACACATTAGTATTGAATTTATACACACTTACATATATATTTTTATGGACAAATCTTGTGTAATATATACACAAGACTACATAAAGGAGCTAAGCGTAATTCGTTTTGAAAATAATATTGCTTTAGCATGTCAGTTTAATATGAATATAACTTATAAAACATTTAAAAGTGAAATATAATTTAGGTCCAGGAAAGTGATGAGTATGTTCACAAGAAAATAATCAGAGATTTAAACGAAATAATTTATTTCTGATCGTTTACTTACGTTAGTCGAAAAATTCACAAAATTTTGAAGGAGACTTCTTTGCTACATAATGTATTGATTTTATTAACATTAGAGAGGAGGGTACATTTAAATATTCTTGCCTAATGTACCATAGAACAATTTAATTTGAATCTTTACTTACAGAAAGTTGAGTTTTCTGCTGTCAAATTAGGGGACGTTGAGCGAACGAACGGAGAGAGATGTTTCTGTAAAGGAAACATTTAGACCACCTTTAATAACTTCCTAAAAGTTCGAAATGTGCACTATATTCTACAATCACAGTTACAAATTCTACATAACTGAGGCAATTAAGTGAAAATACAACCATTTCGAAAAGAAATTATAGTGAAGGAATACACGTGTATATCTAATTAGGCAGAACTTTTTATGGTACTCAAAAGGAAAAAGTTTTTTTATTCCTTTAGTGCCTTCAGTATTATGTGCAGCTAGATTCCATTTTATTCCTCTTTACAACAGTTGATTTACATCTCAGAAATTGCTGCAAGTTAAAAACACTCGCGCTGCTAATAAGGTTAAATGTATTCCAGCAATCGAAATCGTCATTCGACCTTAGTGAAATGAACTGAATTTTCAAATTGTCATATCTTTCCCTTACTTCCATTAACAATGTACAAACCAAAGATAATATATGTACATATTGTGGCATGTAGACCAGTTGCTTGGCAACGACCACGAGATAAACAATAATACAATATCCTTTACTGAGTAACGTCTTCGCAAACAAGCATGAAAATTAGAAACAGCAACAAAGGAACGTGCCGATATATTATAAGCAGGAGAGTTGTAGCAGTGAGTTATTTGTGAGACAGTCACTAGTCAGTAAGAACGTGAGACACGGAAGAAGAGGACATTGTTGGGATCCGTCATCAGAAAACGACTGGTGAAGACAAATAACTCAGAAGATTTTATATGTGCTGTAGTTACAGTGATCTTTGGAGTGAGTAACTCAGGATGACTGTCATAGTTATTTGTAGTTAGGATCTGTAAGTGTTCAGTAAATCCGATCACCAATCCAAACTCCGCGTATAGTCACGCTCATACACGTGCATGTGCAAGCAGCCGAACAGAATGACGGGATGTTTAAAATATTTTTACTTTATAACTAAGTACCTAACACTGTGGTAGCAGATTCTGAAAGTTCAGCTCCGCTAATGCTAAAACTCATCACCGGCCATAACTCCTAGCCAATTCCATCGACTTCCAACGATCACGATCTATCTCCAACTGAAAGCATTAATCTCACTTCAATCTTGATTTAAAAAGTAAAGCTATCCCTGTAACAGGCCGTGAAGGCCCGTAGGGTTGTGAGACGTTGAAGGTCCCACATTTTCTAGACAATCAGCTCACAGATGGTGGTGAGGCTGTCACCCTTACGTGCCGGCCGCCCTTTACTCTCCAGGAAGATTCCTGGTACTCATTTCTTTTAGAGGCTGATTGACCCCAGGGGCATAGTGCGGCTGGAATGATTACCGCAATTAAAAATGCAATAACCTCGTCGGGAATCGAACCCGCGTTCTTTCGGCTTGTACGTAGCCTAGTGACTCAACCAATTACACTACAGCGTGTGATTTAAAAGTAGTTGTTCTATATCCGCCAGAATGTATCAGTTCCTTGTCCCCTCCATCACAGGCAGTTCTCAACCAATACTGGACTCAGCAGTTCACTCCATACAATACACGTATTTTTGAATGAAATAAATCTCAGTGTATCTCTCCAGTGTCCATGACGTGATATTCTCACTGTGCAAACATATTCAAAAGAGAGGAAGCCTTTCTTTAGATAACCACACTCACACATATATTTTAAATATTCTCAAATAAAAGATTACATATATGTAGTGTTGATGTTCTCATGAAGGGTAGTTATAAAGATTTTTATCTTCTGGAATATAAAGCAGTGTAGTATGCTGAAAGTCAATGGATGTTTCAGAGGAATATTTCGCATCCATCTTCAGGACCAAAAAGTAAGGACACCAGCATCAAGCAGGTAACAAGTCTCCTCTTTCTACCTCTTCCATGTTGTTATTTGAATGGCTTATTCTTCGACCATGAACATGGAAACGATATATTTATCCGAAACATCGGTCAAATTCTAACAAACTACACTGCTTCATATCCCAGAAGATAGACTTCTGCAGATTATATGCCGTTTTATTGTGATATTAATGTTACATTTGGCTTCGTACCCTCTTCATTTCTATATTTTCATGTAGAACTTTTCCGTTATTACGTGATAAACCGAAGAATTTATTTTTAACCAGAAATACCATTTCTTTATAAAGGAATATATATGTTACGCTGTAGACGTAAAGGACTACACGGACTACACTTTTATGTGGTTTAATATGAATGCGAATTCTGGTCATTAAAAAAAGAACTGTAAAAAGAGAAGTCGAGGGAAATTCGTTCCCTCAGTATACTTGCGGGATGCTAAATGAAGACGCATTAACGCGTATGAGATGCGAGAGAAGAGCTGGGAAGAACAGACATCACTGCAATAAAACAAGAGAAATATTCCCTAGAGCATTTTGGAAGAATTAATGAGAACCAAATCCTGCTCTTGCCTACGACGGTGGACGCGCGGTCTAAGGAGTGAACCGCCTTCTCTGCCTTATACACTGAGAACGTAGGTTCGAATCCACTCAAGGCATGGATGTATCTGTACGTTTATTCTGTGTTTGTATTGTTCTGTGTATAGGTAGAAGCCTTGTGAAAAGGCTGATCTCTCGCCCAAGGAGTCCTGTGTATAAAAAAAAGTAAAGTAAAGCTATCCTTGTGCCAGGCCGTGAAGGTCCATAGGGTTGTGAGACGTTGAGGCTCCCACACTATCTAGACAATCGGCTCAAAGATGGCGGTGAGGTTGTCAGCCTTACGCGCCGTCCGCGCTTTTCTCCCCAGGAAAATTATTATTTAATTCCGGATACTCATTTCTGTTAGGGACTGAGTAAACCCCAGGGCCTAGTGCGGCTGGAAGAATTAGGTCAATTGAAAAAAAAATCCAATGATCTCATCGGGATTTGAACCCGCGACCTTCCGGCTTGTAGCGTAGTACCTCAACCACGCGTGCCCCACCGACTGTGTATAGCATTAAGGAACTGAAATATCAGCCAAGTTCCAACAAAAGGCTGTAGATAGATGGATAGAATGTTGCTCTTAGAATATAAACCAGCAGGTAGAAGATACCAGGGGCGACAAAGAAATATAAGGGATTATTCTTAATTCCCAGTGGTAACGCCTATGATATGATGTTTGATACCTAACATTGAAAACTCCGTGCAGATTGGTTAGCTCTTTTAAACGGAAAAATCTGGATTATAACATGAAATTTTACTGTTGATAATCAAGATATTGAGTATGATCATGCTAATGATAGTGGAAGATCGCTGTTAAAATGAAGATTTCAGTTGTTTAATGTAGTAAGAATGCCAGATAAATTGCCCTGTTTGCTACTGCGGTTAACTTTCACTAAATTTGTCTGGCAAAGAGCGTAGAAACTGAAAGCTTATGGAAACGAATGCGGGTGAAAGGTAGGTGATAAAGGATGTGAATATCGCGGTTCGTAAACGGGATTCTTACGTGAGTTTAATATAATGCAACAAATGAAGATTTAAAATTCACGCATCCGTTAAATATAAAAAATAAAAAGGCAAAATTGTCGCTGTGTTTAATTAATTAAACACCAAGCCATGAAGGCGTATGGGGAAGTGGAAGTATAACTCCAACATTTTTGATCTCGACAGTAGATGGAGAAGAGTGGTCAGCTTCACGCCCCAGCCGCCTTAGGGAAGCAGCCCTAGGAACCCTTTAGTTTGAAGGATAGGTGGGTCTCAAAACCGTTAAGAACGCTATACAATAGAGAAGCCCATGCCAGGAACGAACACCGGCCGTCCAACACGTTGCCCGTCGCTATACCAAGTTATTCCAATTCAGATTGTATATTGTTCGTGCTACCAATGTTGCACGTGTAGAGGTTTATTAGTATGTCAAATAAAAATGTTTGAGTTCTGATATTTCCTGTAGCTTCATTTTCCTACCATTCATACCNCCCTCATTCAAGGAGCCGAGCCCTTCTTGAGAAGCCGGTCCATATCCTGAGCCAGATCAATCCAATCTATATAATCCCACCCTATCTAAGACCCATTTTAATATTGTCCACCCACCTACGCCTTGGTCTTCCCAGTGGTCGCTTTCCTTCTGGCTTTCCCACCAATATCCTCTACGCATTCCTCGTGTCCCACATTCGTGCTACATACCCTGCCCACCCCATCCTCCTTGACTTGATCATTCTAATTATACTTTGAGAAGAGTACAAGTTATGAAGCTCCTCATTATGCAGTTTTATCCAACCTCCTGTCACTCCATCTCTCTTCGGTCCAAATATTCTCCTCAACACCTTGTTGTCAAACACCCTCAGTCTATGTGTATATTCCTCCCTTAAAGTCACAGACCAGATTTCACACCAGCACAGAACAACAGGCAGAATTATAGTTCTGTATATTCTAATTTTTAAGTTTATAGACAGCAGACGAGAAGACAAAAGGTTCTGGACTGAATGGTAGCAAGCGTTACCCGAGTTCAGTCTCCTCTTAATTTCCTCCTGAATCAGGTTTCGATTTGTTATCGTTGTTCCCAAATATCTGACGAGACAGCAACATATACTTAGTTGTCTCTGTATTTACTTCTAGAGCAACCTTCTTACTTGCGTCAATTAAAGTTTCTGCGAATATATTGAATAAGCAGTCGCGGACAGCCGAAAATCGGTGGTCCTCCAGCTTGGGGGGGTTGGGCTCGGGCTAACAACTTCTCACCGTAAAAGACTAAACATGCTCCGAAAATTTGCAAGAAGTGTCTCACCTGGACGGATTCCTTGGATGACATACGTAGTTACCTACACTACTGATCTACATGTTTTGGATAGTCACATTAACTGCAGACTACTGGAGTCAAATACTGTTGCGACATCAGCAATAAGCTGGTCTCTCGTGCTTGCTCAGCCACACATACAATTGTCTGCACTTCTTAACGCCTGCAGTGATTACTTAGCAAATTGGTAGATTCGTAATTTCTTCGTTCGTTGATCCGCTGGTTCGTTAATCCATTTAATTACAGTGGACCCTCGAGTTTCGAACGGGTTGATGTTCGACCCCCTCGTTGGTGTCTCCACTNCTTATGGAAACGAATGCGGG